ACCAGAAAGGTGAGCCACAGCCACCAAGCACATGCTTCCAGGAAAGCTCCTGCACCCCACCCAAAGCCCGTCTTTTGACTCGAGTTTCTCCCCTTTTTTTGTATTATTTTATTGTTGTTTTGCCCTTACCAAGCACCTTTCAACAAGTGCCCGGCTCCCAGCTGCTGCTGCTGGCCCTGCTCCAAGGCTGGGGCTGGGATGGGGAAGTCCTACTGGCTCCCTGCCACCGTGGTGAGCACAGCACCGGCTAAGAGCAGCCAGCGGGCTCCTGCACCTCATCTGGAGGGCAGCTGGTCAACTGGGCTTATCGCCCCACGCAGGGAGCGCGTGTGGGTGCGTGGGGAGAGGGACCGTGCTGGACACCCCCTCCCTGAGCCCCCCGGGAGCCATCGGAGGGTAGGCTGCAGGGACACTACGGCCATCGTCACCTACTGCTGTCCGCCATGGGGCTGAGCCTTCGCTCCCTTTGTTCATGGAATGGTTTGGGTTGGAAAGGATCTTTAAAGGTCATTTACTGCGACCTCCCTGCCACGGGCAGGGACATCACCTAGATCAGGGCACTCAGAGCCCCATCCAACATGACCTTGAATGTTTCCAGGGATGGGGCATCCACACCTTCTCTGGGCAACCTGTGCCAGCGCCTCCCCACCCTCAGCAAAAAAAAATTCTTCCTTCTATCTAGTCTAAATCTGCCCTCTTTTGGTTTAAAACCATCACCCCTTGTCCTGTCAATGTCCTGTTCTCCTGGGGTATTTGCCACCCTGATGGCACTTGTGTTGGGAGGGGAAGATCTTCCCTTGACAGGCAGTCAGGAGGGACAGGGGAAGCAGTGGGAAGGAGCTGCCTTCCCGAGTGTCTGGGCAGAGAGGCCGTGGGACAGTGCCGGGTGGGCTGTCTCGGAGCGGCAAGCGGCTGCTCTGCACCCCAAACATGTGGGAAGGAACAAAGCCTCACAGGTGGATTGGGACACTGGGTGCCCATGGATCCTGGAGGGATCTGGCTGGTGACAGACACCTGCAGAGCCAGGGCAGCCCAGGACAGCAGGAAGAATCCGTGCAGGACTGTGATCTCTGCCAGACTCGTGTCGCCCCCAGCACATGCTGCCCCAAAGCAGAGGAGCCACCACCCTCCTCTCTTGGGAACAGGGAGTGTGCTGAGGAGGGGTGAGAAGAGACGCAGAACGGGGATGGGGAGGAAGAGGAGGAACAGAGGACTTACGTCTCAGGAAGCGGTTTCGGACCCATTTGTTCTGCTTCCGGGCGTATCTCTTGGTCACCTGTTTCAGGGCCTGGATCCCTTTGAAACAGAGGGATTAAACCCAAAGGTCAGTGCCACGCTGCAAGCTGAGCTCGGAGCAGAGTCAGAAGAGGCTGTTGGTGCCGGTGGGGGGAATACACAGGACAAAAG